TGAAATAATGTCTTTTGCAGCAACTTGAATGGAACTGGAGGCCATCATTCTAAGTGAAGTAACCCAGGAACAAAGAATCAAATACTGTATGTTCTCACTTACAAGTGCGAGCTAAATAATGGGTATACATGGTCATACAGAATGACTTAATTAACAATGGAGACTCAGAATGGGGAGATGGAAGGGGACCACAGGATGAAAAATTACCTATTGAGTATGCAGCACACTATTCAGGTATATTAACAGTCTATACTTCACTATGCAATTCAGCCATGTAACAAAAAGCCACTTTTACCTCTTAAATCTATTTAAATAAAATAGAAGTACATATATATGGCAAAAAAAAAAAAATGGATTCAATTGAAGAAAAAAAAGAAGTGAACAGTAAACTGAAATAAATAAATAAACTGCCCTGTTTCTGTACTGAAATCAGGTTCTGATTGAGTACTTCTGGGCGGATAGGACTCTACAACTGACTCTGTGCCAAGTCTTTATATCACATTCAGTTGTCAAGCTTATTCCCACATCCTTCAAAATAACTCTCACACCACTGCTCATCCCCTACTCAAACCACTTCTCATTTCAAGGCTACTCAGGGAAGGAAAGATCTGGGATATGTCAGTCTGTGGCAGAGCACAGGCCCACAATGGGCTCATCCAGTGCGCTGTCTCTGGACTCTGCTCTGCAGAGGCCTGGTTCTGTGCAGCCTCCTTAGGGGATTGGTGCAAAACAGCTCTATGTTTACTTCGTCCATGTATTTAACACCAGGTAAACTACAAAGTGAAGTTTGCAAGGCACATATTATTACATGAGTTAGGATAGGATACTATTAGTCTGATTCCTTAAATACTAGGAGAGCAAAAAATAGAAAATAATTTGCCTATTTTACCACAGGCAGAGTCTGATAACCAACCAACTGTATGTGACAGTGACAAATGAGATTCATAAGGGAAATTCATCTTTATTTCAACACAAATTAACACGTTTTCATGAAGCTTATTGTTTGACTCTCCCAACTACGATGTTAGCTTTATGAAACCAAGAACTTTCATACAGGCATGCATCACCATGCCCAGCTAATTTTTTCTATATATTTTTAGTTGGCTGATTAATTTATTTCTATTTTTAGTAGAGAGAGGGTCTCACTCTTGCTCAGGCTGGTTTCAAACTCCTGACTTTGAGTGATCCTCCTACCTCGGCCTCCCAGAGTGTTAGGATTAAAGGTGTGAGCTGCCCGCGCGCCTGACCTACGTTTTTCTCATTCATTAAAATCAAACAAAACCTAAGGTATGAAACTATTAGAACTCTAGAGGAAAAAGTTGGAAACACTCTCCTAGACATTGGCCTGGGCAAAGAGTTTATGAAGAAGTCCCCAAAGGCAATCACAGCAGCAACAAAAATAAATAAATGGGACATGATCAAACTACAAAGCTTCTGCACAGCCAAAGAAATAGTCATGAAAGTAAACAGACAACCTACAGAATGGGAGAAAATTTTTGCATCCTATGCATCCGATAAGGGACTGATAACTAGAATATACTTAGAACTCACGAAAATTAGGAAGAAAAATCAAATAACCCATTAAAAAGTGGGCAAAGGACTTGAACAGAAATTTTTCTAAAGAAGACAGAAGAATGGCCAACAAACATATGAAAAATGCTCAACATCTCTAATCATCAGGGAAATGCAAATCAAAACCACAATGAGATATCACTTAACCCCAGTGAGAATGGCCTTTATCAAAAAATCTCCAAACAATAAATGCTGGCGTGGTTGCGGAGAGGAGAGGAACACTCCTACACTGCTGGTGGACTGCAAACTAGTTCAACCTCTGTGGAAAGCAATATGGAGATACCTTAAAGCGATACAAGTGAATCTCATTTGATCCAGCAATCCCATTGCTGGCATCTACCCAATGATCCAATGACACTCTACAAAAAAGACACCTGCACTCGAATGTTTATAGCAGCACAATCATAATTGCAAGGCTGTGGAAACAGCCCAAGTGCATCCATCCAAGAAGGATTAATAAAATGTGGTATATGTATACCATGGAGTACTATTCAGCTCTAAGAAACAATGGTGATATAGCACATCTTATATTTTCCTGGTTAGAGCTGGAACTCATACTACTAATGAAGTATCCAAGAATGGAAAACAAGCACCAGATATATTCTCCAGCAAACTGGTATTAACTGAGTAGCACCTAAGTGGACACATAGGTACTACATAATAGGGTATTGGGCAGGTGGGAGGTGGGAGGGGCGGGTATATACATACATAATGAGTGAGATGTGCACCATCTGGGGGATGGTCATGATGGAGACTCAGACTTTTGGGGGGAGGAGAGAAATGGGCATTTATTGAAACCTTAAAATCTGTACCCCCATAATATGCCGAAATAAAAAAAAATTAAAAAAATTAAAAACAAACAAACAAAAACAACAACAACAAAAAAAATCAAACAGATGATATTAGAAATACTTTGTATATCTTAATATCTTCCATTCAATCAATTTATATTTATCAGAACTTACTTTCTAGAAACTTTTTAGGATCTTGTGGCCCCAGTTTCAATAAGATAGTTAACTTATTTGGCTCTGCCATAGATAATATGCATATGGTGGCCGGGTGTGGTGGCTCATGCCTATAATCCTAGCACTCAGGGAGGCCAAGGCAGGAGGATCACTTGAGCCCAGGAGTTTGAGGTTGCTGTGAGCTAGGCTGACGCCACGGCACTCTAGCCCGGGCAACAGAGTGAGACTCTGTCTCAAAAAAAAAAAAGATAATATATATGTGGAAGCCTTTTCCTCACACTTACTTAGTGAACCCTAAATCCTACGGCCTAAGTGCCTATACACCACAATTAAAAAAAAAATTATGGATAATCTAATGTAAACTACCTGGCATAGCTAAAGAGACAGGTGGTTGGCTAGGTACAGTGGCCCACACCTGTAATCCCAGCACTTCAGGAGGCTGAGAGAGGATTGCTTGAGCCCAGGAGTTTGAGAGCAGCCTGAGAAACATAGCAAGGCCCCTTCTCTACAAAAAATTAAAACATTAGCTGGACATGGTAGCATATGCCTGTAGTCCCAGCTACTTGGGAGGCTGAGGCAGGAAGACTGCATGAGCCCAGGAGTTTGAGATTGCAGTGACACCTGGCTCTCTCTAGCCTGGGTGACAGAGCAAGAACTTGTCTCTGAAAAACCCAAAGAGATAAATGGTAATCTACCAGTTGCCACCTTTAAGTAGGTAAGTTATGTAACTTAACATTTGCTCAAGATAACTTCAGAGAAACTTCCAATTCCAGTAAAGATAGAATAACAGGCACCAGACTTACTCTCCAAGATTAAAACAATTAAAAATACAGACAAGATAAAATTTAAAAAACAATTATTTATAGACATTGGACAAGTTTTCATCTGGGCCTGAAGTCTTCCTTATGACAAGGTTTTTTACTACAAATCCAATTTCTTTAATAGCTATAGAGCTAATCAGGTATCTATTTCTTCTTGAGAGAGCTTTAGTAATCTGTCTTTTAAGAATTTTTCCTGTTTAATCTACATTGTCAAATTTATTGGCATAAAATTATTTAAAATATTCAATTATCCTTCTTTTTTTTTTTTTTTTTTAATTTTAAGACACAGGATCTTGTTCTGTTGCCTAGGCTGGAGTACAGTGGCATGATCACAGCTCACTATGACCAGAACTCCTAGGCTTAAGTGATCCTCCTGCCTCTCAGCCTCCCAAAGTGCTGGGATTACAGGTGTGCACCATCACACCTGGCTACTTATTATCCTTTTAATGTCTGTAGGATTTGTAGTAGTGTCTTCTCTCTCATTTCTGATAATAATTTGTGAATTCTTTTGGTCAGTTTGGCTAGAGGTTTACCAATTTTATTGATCATGTCATAGACCAGCTTTTGATTTCCTTGGTTTTTCTCTATTGTTTTTCATTTCACTGATTTTTGCTTTTTTTGTTTCTTCTCTTTTGCCTGTTTTGGCTTTAATTTGCTCTTCTTTTTCTAGTTTCTTAAGACAGAAGTTTAAGTCACTGAAGTGACACATTTTCTCTTTTGTATAAAAACATTTAGGCATCTGGTACTAATGAATTTCTCCTTTAAACACTGTTTAACTGCTTCCCACAAATTTTGATGTTATACTTTCATTTTTATTCAGTTCAAAATGCTTTCTAATTTCTCTCCTTTTTTTTTTTTTATTCCTGACTGCCTTGGAATAATTTCTCTTTTAATTTAGTCATTTATTCATGTATTATTTTAGAAATATGTTATTTATTTTCCCAAATTTGGAGGGGATTTTCCATATATCTCTATTATTGATTTCTAATTTGCTTTCATTGTGCTCACAGAAGATATTTTGTACAGTTTCAACCCTTCTAAATTTATTAATACTTGTTTTAGGAAGGGCATGGGGAGGAATGAATGGCAGGGGCAATATATGTAACCCTAACAATATTTGTACCCCCATAATATGAAAAAATAAAAAATTAAAAAAAAAAATACTTGTTTTACGGCCCACAATATGATATATCTTGGTAAATGTCTCATATGCACATGAAAAGAATAAATATTCTGTTGTTGAATAGAGTGTTCTATGAATATCAATAGGTTAAATTGGTTGACAGCATTATTGAAGTCTTCTATATCTTTACTGATTTTCTGTATACTTGTTCTATTAATTGAGAGAGTTGTGTTAAAATCTCTAGCTCTAACTGTGGGTTTGTCTATTTCTCTGGACAGTTCTGTCAGGTTTTACATCATAAATTAATATCTTAGAGCTCTACTAGTAGGGGCATAAATATTCTAAATTGTTATTGATATGCCCTCTGATTGACTTCTTTAGCACAAAATAACCCTCATTATCAGTATTAAATATTGATATTGGGACTTATTGACTATTAGGGATGACACTGAAGAAGCTACTTAGTTGACATGGTATCTCTTTCCCATCATATGAGCCATATGTTTATAAAACTCTTACCGTGTCATCAAGACCATCTATATGCAAAACCACTGTTTTGGCACGTTTATTTGTAGTTCCTAGAAAAAACTGAGCTTTCCTTCGACGTGAATTCATTTCATTGAAACTATCACCATCTGCCATACTGGAGGACTGAAGAATATCATAGATTTCAGAGGCCAGAAGTTTTGTTTCTCCTGGAGTTGTAGTCCTTGAAAAGAAACACATATAAATTTATGAATCAGTCTTGTCACTTCAACATATTCTGCAATTTTATTTCTCATCTTTGTGGAGCCTTTTTTCCTTTCTTTCTGATGCCTTATTCAATTTAAAAGCAATACCAGGGAATTCTAGAATAATCAATAATATAGAAAAGGCATCTAGTCTATAGTAGTCTTCTAATTTCATTTTAAACCTGTGGCTCACTGAGATTTAAAACCCCTCGTTATAGAAGTATAAAAGTACATTTAATAAAAATCTTTAATTAAACAGAAAATCAACTAGCAAGTTCAGGTTTAAGATGCTCCTAGATTATCATTAATATTCAACTCTCAATTTCAAAGTACCCTGACCTTCAAGAAAACATACAAAAATCCAAAAGGAGAAAACAAATTAGAAAAGAATCATTCATATTATCAGCTAATGTCAAGGAGATTTCTTAATATGATCAAACTGATTATTTCTTAATTTACATTTCTTACATATCACAAAGCCATGTATATATCATAAAACAAGAACTCAAAAGTTTTCATTCTTAAAATTAAATCCTACTATAGCTCTTCGCATCAACATCTAGTGCCATGCTGTCCAATAAATCTTTCTGCAATGATGGAAATGTTCTGTATCTGCACTCTCCACTCATATGTGGCTATTGAGCACTTGAAATGTGGCAAGTGCAACTATAGAAATAAATTTTATTTACTTTGAACTAATTTAAACTTTCCCATGTGGTGAGTGGCTACCATATTGGGCAGCAGAGATCTAATTGTTCAACAAATTACCAACAGTAAGTACAGAACCAACAGTAAGTACACATAGGAAAAGAATCCTCATTCCACCTACAAATAGGCTTAATTAAGTTCAAACTCTTTACATTCAAGGCCTTAAAATGAAAGCCTAAAAACCCATTTGGCTGTCTACATTAGCACATTGTGGCCTTCTATTATTCTTTGGGTTCACTATGACACTTGGCCATCTCCTATAATGACCAAGCATTTTTATATATTCTTTGCTGTTCTTACTTTAGAATGCTTTCCACGCTTAAAACCTTGCTCATGTCTTTCCTCAGCAATAAGAGCTTCATTCACCAAGACCATAGGCTTTCTAACTCTTATTGTCACCCTTAAAGGGCCAAGTTGACCACTACCTTCTTTATGAAGCCTTCACCCAACAACCCATTTCTCCCACTGCATTCAAAGTACTATGTTTGTACTTATACTATTGATCTTAGTTTTCTATTTCTTTCACAAATATATAAACTCTTTAAGAATAGGGATGTATTCTCTTTGTACCTTCCACAGAACCTAACAAAAAGTATTATAAGCTATTTATTTATTGAATGAGTAGGAATACTTCCATTTCTGATATTCAGACTGTACATGCTGTGGCTTAGTTTTAATTCCAGGGGTAATAATCTGACAGTTTTCCAAGTACTTAATTTACTATATCAGGTGCTTTTCTGGGCCACGGCGGTAAGTTACTTTGAATAATTTTAGCTCTGTGTTACATGAAGTTATCAAAAAGACTGATTTTTTTAGGGGATGTATCAACATTTTTCTTGATAGCTGTTTTACATTTACTGAAAAGGCCACTGTAGTTCTCAGATATTTTAAATATTAGCCAAACACAAGTTATAACAAGTATGAGGATATAATGATTACAGGAACTCATCAATTCAAGGGGAAAAAAGACATTATGTTTTTGTTACCCCTTTCATCATCAATAGTTTTTAACTGTTTGTCTAAATTACAAAGAGAATCATCATAACACATAATAGAAGATGCAAATAATGACTGTGTTATTATATACTATTTCAAAACTTCTCTATATGCTTCCTAATGAACCAACAGTAATAAAAAATATTAAAATACTGTAATACCAAAGCTACCAAATTAGCTTCCTCTTCTGCAGAATAAGAACCAACAGTAATAAAAAATATTAAAATACTGTAATACCAAAGCTACCAAATTAGCTTCCTCTTCTGCAGAATAAGAACTATAACAGTAATTTAATTCTTAGCCAATTAGGGTTACTATCCCCTTTCTAACCCCTTTGAGAATGTAAAGTTAGAGACTGTTTCATAGGAAAAATGCAAGTAAACAGTTTTCCAAATTAACTTTGGTGAATTATCACGTCCCCACACAAACCATTCATTTTTTATCAACCTCAACATAGCTTAGGTAGCTGAAGGCTGGAGTGGCTATGGAAATTTCTTAAGATAAGACAATAAATAAGGTTTGCCACATCAATCAATTCTTTTCACGAAAGATTTCTCTGTAGCATGTGATGTTGATTAATATCATCTTATCAATGCAGAACTTCTTTCAAAATTGGAGTCAATTTCTCAAACCCTGCTATTGTTCTATCAACTAAATTTATTAATAATATTCTAAATCCCTTGCTGTCATTTCAACAATGTTCACAGCATCTTCACCAGAAACAGATTCTATTTCAAGAAACAGCTTTCTTTTGCCCATGCTTAAAAATCAACTTCTCATCCATTCCAGTTTTATCATTGAATTAATAATTATAGTCACATAATTCAGTCACATCTTCAGGCTCCACTTCTAATCCTCGTTCTCTTGCTCAACCACATCTGTAGGAACTTCTTGCACTGAAGTCCTGAATCCCTCAAAGTCATTCATGAAGGGTGGAATCAACTTCTTCCAAACTCCTGTTAATGTGGATATTATGATCTCCTCCTATGAATCACAAATGTTCTTCATGACATCTAGAATAGTAAATCCTTTATAGAAGCTTCTCAGTTTATGTGGCCCAGATCCATCAGAGGAAGTACCTTCTATGGCAACTATATAGTCTTACAAAATGAATTTCTTAAATAAGATGACTTGAAACTTGAAATTATTCCTTCATCCATGGGCTGCAAAATGGATGTTGTGTTAGTAAGCATGAACACACATTAGTCTTCTTGTACATCTCCAACAGACCTCTTGAGTGACCAAGTCCATTGCCAATGAGCAGTGATCTTTTCTTTTTTTGAGACAGAGTCTTGCTTTGTTGCCCAGGCTAGAGTGAGTGCTGTGGCATCAGCCTAGCTCACAGCAACCTCAAACTCCTGGGCTCAAGCGATCCTCCTGCCTCAGCCTCCCGAGTAGCTGGGACTACAGGCATGCGCCACCATGCCCGGCTAATTTTTTGTATATATTTTTAGTTGGCCAATTAATTTCTTTCCATTTATAGTAGAAACGGGGTCTCGCTCTTGCTCAGGCTGGTTTCGAACTCCTGAACTCGAGCAATCCGCCCACCTCGGCCTCCCAGAGAGCTAGGACTACAGGCGTGAGCCACCGCGCCCGGCCGAGCAGTGATCTTTTGAAAGGAATCTTTTTTCTGAGCTGTGTTTCTCAACAGTGGGCTTAAAATATTTAGTAAACCATCTTGTAAACAGAGGTGCTGTCATCCAGGCTTTGTTGTTCCCCAAGAAGCACAGGCAGACGAAATTTAGCAGCATTCTCAACGGCCCTAGGATTTTCAGAATGGTAAGTGCATTGGCTTCAACTAAGTCACTAGGTGCATTACCTCCTAATAGGAGAGTCAAGCTGTCCTTTAAAGCCAGGCATTGACTTCTCCTTTCCTTCAACTTTGTGAACCAACCTCTTATCGCTTCAAACTTTTCTTCTGAAGTTTCCTTATCTCTCTCAGATGTCATAGAATTGAAAGGAGTTAGGGTCTAGCTCTGGATTAGGCTTTGGCTTACGGGAATATTGTAGCTGGTTTGATCTTCTGTCTAGACCACTAACACTTTCTTCCTATTAGCAATAAGGTTGTTTTGCTTCTTATCATTCATGTGTTAACTGGGGTAGCACTTTTAATTTCCTTTAAGAACTTTTCCTTTGCATTTACAACTTGCCTGACTGGCACACAGGCCTAGCTTTTTGGCCTATCCTGGTGTTTGATATGTCTTTCTTACTGCTTCATCATGTCCAGCTTTTCATTTAAAGTGAGAGATGTGTGACTCTTCCTTTCACTGGAACACTTAGAGGTCACTGTAGGGTTACTAATTGGCCTAATTTCATTTCTGTTGGGTCTCAAGAAATAGGGAGGCAGTAGGAAAGAAAGAGACAGGAAATGGCTGATTAATGGAACAGTCAGAATATGCACATTTATCAATTAAGTTCACCATCTTTCATGGGTGCCATTCATGGTGCTCCCAAAAAATTACGATAGTAACATCAAAGATCACTGGTCACCATAACAGATGTAATAATGGTTTTTAAAAGTTTGAAATATTGTTGAGAATTACCAAAATGTAACAGAGACACAAAGTATACACAAGTCATTGAAAAAAAATGGTGCCAATAGATTTGCTGGATGCAGAATTGCCACAAACCTTCAAATGGTAAAAAATGCAATACCTGCAAAGTACAATAGAGCAAAGCATAATAAAACAAGATATGCTTGTATGTTCTTCTGGTATACCTTATAGGACCAATTTTATTGCTACCTTTCTGAGGTGTTTTACAAAACCAACAACCACTCTCTGATTCTCTGTACAATTTAATTGGGTGTCCTCCAATTTAATTCAATTCTGTGACTGACTACTTGGAATTGGAGTCAGACTTCGCAGGTTTAAGGGCTCAACTCAACAAGACTATCTTCACTTTAGATGCCAGTTGCAAGTACTAGATCTCCAAGTTACCCAAATTTCTGTCCAACTCATGTAGGGGGCTCCTGCAACCTCCCCTTTCAGGTTCAACAATTTGCTAGAATAGCTCACAGAACTCAGTAAGACAGTTTATTCTGTTTATTGGTTTAGTATAAAAAATATAACACAGGAACAACCAGATGGAAGAGATCCATAAGGCAAGGTATGAGAGGCACATAAGGGGTGTATGGAACTTCCATGCTCTATCTAGGCCTGCCACCCTCCCAGTTCACCAACTCAGAAGCTCACCAAATCCCACTGTTCAAGAGTTTATTTATAGAGTTAAATCTCCATCTCCACCCCTTCCTGAAACTGATGAGTGGAGCTAA